CCAGGAATGACTGCAACGACAGGATCAGACTCTCGAGTCTCATACCGGCCGCCCATTTGTCTTTCAGTATATCCAGGCATATGGCGCCGGTAGCCGACGAGATGTTCGGGTGCCACACCTTCGTCACAAATTTACAGATCGGCGGTTCAAACGGGTATTTGTCCGGTATTTTCATGTCTATACCGAAGACCCCCCTCTGGAAGGGAGTGTCGGGTGGGCCCAGGATTTTGGCGATCAGGTGCTGCTTCGAGTCGTTCACCAATTCTATGGAGTATTGGTTTTTGTTCAGATCGTTGTCTCTCATCATAATCTGGATCTCTTTGTTGATCCTCTTGTTGCCCGCCATTCCTCAAGTTTGACGTATAGTTGTCGTGAGAGACACCACCGGACTATAGTATCACAATTAGATCGATGGGATAGTCTTTTATAACCGTTAGCTTCAAGACAATGAATGGCTAAATGTTTTTCTAATTGAATTTGAATACACATTATAAAAAGCGCGAGTTATTCACCGATTGCTTAAAAGTATTGTAAGAATCGGTTCAAAATAAGACCCAAAAATCCGTTACAATCTTTAGCCATAGCTTTATATATCGTCAGAATTGGTGTAAATTATACACAAACTTTCAAAACTAAATCCAATAAATGCGCGCAAAATCCATTCAAATTCAGTGCGATAACGGATATAATCAACAGATAATTGCAATACTTATCGCAAGAATTATCTCATAATTGGTGTCTAAAGATGTCCAAAGAGCCAGATGTGAGACAAAGCAGTGATTCCGTGGGCATAACGGACGCCGCCGTAGAGACCAACCAAATGAATGGCTTACGCGAGGAGAAGGACGAGAAGGTCTTAGTGTATGAACCGAAGCGACAGTTTGAGCCCATGTTATGCATCGAACGGCTCTTCAAATCACATCTACGGCTCAAATCGTCGTACGATAAGCCGGTGCCGACCGCCGCTCAGGAGACCAGAGCCGCTGCCGTTGAGTTCAGCGCCGATACCCAGAGCCAAGAGAAGACCATCGGCGCCGTCAATACGTTAGAGACCGACAACTCGGAGGCCGACATACGCGTGGATCACATCAAAGACGGCATCTCGGAGTGGATGAGTCGCCCGAAGGACAAGAAAAGTCGGGTTAAGCCGGGCCTCGAGTGCGTCGAGCGGTTGCGGAAGTACTACATCTTCGACGAGATCCGTATCATCGACCGTCTCTTCGAGGACTCCAAGTTTACCCGCAATTGTCTGACCGTCCGGAACGCCGACTATCAGCAGCTGTTTTATGTCGGCCCCAAAAACAACAAGAATACCTCGAAATACCGGGCCTTTACGCTCCGGGTGGTCGACCAGTACTGTCGCCACGTCTTGAGTATCCGGAAGCGCGCGAAGTGTTGCTGTTGCGCGGGCTATAAGGCGGACATCGAGTGCCCTCCCGGCGCGCCGTTGGGTAAACTCCGGCAGCGGTTCTTCTGGTTTCGACGGACCG